GGTATAAACAATTTAAATTTTTCCAACCAAATTCATATTTATATTAATTTTTCTTTAAATGGACACAACATTCCAACATCTTGTGAAAAGTGACATACAATCACACATGTAAAATACATTGTATAATTTGCATAAAATTGCACTGTGTGGTGACTGTGAAGTTTTGAGTGTTCATATTAATCATGAACATTTTCGTGTAGTTTTCAATAATTCACTGTATACCCTCCAAGCTTGAAATTAATCAAGAACACGTGTGAAGACCAAACTCAGTATTTTACAAATTTGACTGAAAACTGACACACTTGCCACTGTACTTTTAAATTTCAAATCATGCACACCAGAGGGTAGTGAACAGTGATTACAACAGCCGTGCCTGTGTTTACAGTATCTATAGCTTTGAGTTTCTTGGATGGGCAGTCAACCGTGGTGCACTCACAATATTAAGACACACAGGACTGCTTAGCTAGAGTTACTTTTAATATCGATTTCGTTAAAACAAACAGCGGTAAATTCCTTTCAACGTGACAGCTTTCCTACTATAACATACAAATCAAATGTGTTATATTTCTCACAATTGTATCTAGCGTATACGTCAAATCTACCGTACACTTTCGACAGAAGACAAACCGCTAAACTAGAATGTATCGCACTACATAGATTAGCAGATATAAATGAAGTAAAGGGCAAATAATCATGAAAGGCAGCGCATGTTCGAATTTCATGTAAACAGACAATGTATTTTATACAAGTTGTATATGTCGCTATGGATTCCTATCGAACAGAACGCAGCACGATCACCACAGCCCCCTTTAAATCCAATTTATTGCGATGGCAATGGAGGCTTTTTTTTATTACACATCGTATCATGTAGTAAAACTTTATCTTGCGAAATTATTTCGTCTGTCATAAAATGCAATACAGGTGGAGTGAGATGGAAACGGTTTTACAGTCTCTCTATAAAACTAATACAAAACCCATTCCAATATTATAACCATGGTAACATTATTGATTTGTAATTATATTTCAATTAACTAGAATATTCTATGTTCTCAAGAAAAACGAAAACATGTTATATTTAAATCTTTTTTTTTTTACATAATCAAAATACCCTGGTACTAGTATTATAAAATGTTACAATTACAAATAGATAGTTATAAAAGCACTGCCAGTTATCTGTACAGCGTGATGCTGAAATTAACTTGGATTGTGTATTTGTTGGACAATTCTCTTATTAATATGCAAGGCCCATGGAATGTGTACACAATTGGCTATGCTGTCACACCAAGCTGTTGCAGTAATCCCCACATGTGTGATTGCGTTAATATATTATGCTGATTTCATATCAAAAGCATGCAGTATGCATTGGTGAAGGCCCAAATATAAGCTGGTAGTTATATTGACAGCGAGTAGTTGCTATGGCAATGGGGAATAAACAAAATAAAACTGGATGTATAGTCAACAGGTGGTTTGTATGTGTGGTAAGTATTGTATGAC